TCATGTGGGCACTTAGTGCTATAAACTTTCCTCTCAGCACTGCTTTCAAAGTGTCCCATAAGTTTGTGTATGTTGTGTCTTCATTCTCATTGAAATCGAGGAAGTCTTTAATTTCTTTTTTATTTGTTCCTTTACCCAGGGATGGTGCAATTGTGCATTGTTCAATCTCCATGAGTTTGTAGGGTTTCTGCGATTTGTGTTATTGTTGAATTCTAATGTTAATGCATGGTGGTCTGATAAGATGCAGGGGGTTATTCCAATTTTTTTGTATCTGTGGAGATTTGCTATGTTTCCTATTATGTGGTCAATTTTAGAGAAGGTTCCATGTGGTGCCGAGAAGAAGGTATATCCCTTTGTATTTGGGTGGAATGTTCTATAGATGTCTGTTAAACCCAGTTGGGTCATAACTTCTATTAATTCTTTTGTTTCTTTGTTAAGTTTCTGTCTGGAGGTCCTATCTAGCGGTGAGAGCGGAGTGTTGAAGTCTCCTACTATTAGTGTGTGAGATTTTATGTGCATTTTGAGCTTTAGTAATGTTTCTTTCACGAATGTAGGTGCCTTTGTATTTGGGGCGTAGATATTTAAAATCGAGACTTCGTCTTGATGTATTTTTCCTTTGATGAATATGAAGTGCCCTTCTTCATCTCTTTTGATTGATTTTAATTTGAAGTCTAATTTGTTAGATATTAGGATTGCTACGCCCGCTTGTTTCTTGGGGCCGTTTGATTGGAAGATCTTTTCCCAGCCCTTTACTCTGAGATAACGTCTGTCTTTGGTGTTGAGATGTGTTTCTTGTATGCAGCAGAAGGAAGGGTTCTGTCTTCGTATCCATTCTGATAGTCTGTGTCTTTTTATAGGTAAGTTGAGGCCATTGACATTGAGGGATATTAATGACCATTGATTGGTGATCCTTGTTTGCGCTTGATTTATTGTTAGTGAAGTTATTTTGTGTAGTTTCTCCTCCCTTTTTCTTTTAGTGTTTTGTAAAGTATGATTCTATATTGCCTGTGTCTTTGTGAATGTAGTTATCTTCCTTGGCTCTAGGTTTTCCTTCTAGCATTTTCTGTAGAGCTGGATTCATGGATACGTATTGTTTAAATCTGGCTTTGTCATGGAATATTTTGTTTTCTCCATCTATGGTAATTGAGAGCTTTGCTGGATATAGTAGTCTGGGCTGGCATCCTTGTTCCCTTAGCGTTTGTAGGACATCTGACCAGGATCTTCTGGCTTTCATCGTTTCCATTGAGAAGTCAGGTGTAATTCGGATAGGTCTGCCTTTATATGTTACTTGGCCTTTTTCTTTAGCTGCTCTTAATATTTTCTCTTTGCTCTGTAGGTTTGATGTTTTGATTATTATATGGCGAGGTGACTTCTTTTTCTGGTCAAGCCTATTTGGTGTTCTGTAAGATTCTTGTACTTTCATAGGCATATCTTTCTTTAGGTTAGGGAAGTTTTCTTCTATGATTTTGTTGAATATGTTTTCTGTACCTTTAAGTTGAAGTTCTTCACCTTCTTCTATACCTATTATTCTCAGGTTTGGCTTCTTCACGGTGTCCCATATTTCCTGAATATTTTGTGTTAAGGATTTGTTGGTTTTGAGATTTTCTTTGGTTGACGATGCTATGTCCTCTAATGAGTCTTCAACACCTGAGATTCTCTCTTCTATCTCTTGTATTCTATTGGTGATGCTTGCATCTGTAATTCCAGACCGTTTACCGAGCTTTTCTATTTCCAGCATCCCTTCATTCTGTGTTTTCTTTATCGTTTCTATTTCAGCTTTCAATCCTTCAACTGTTTGAGCTGTTTCCTTAATTTTCTTGGTTGTTTTTTCTTGGTGCTCTTTAGATTCTTTGAGAGATTTGTTTATTTCTTGAATTTTTCCCCCATTTCATGGATTTTTTGTTTGTTTTTTCTTCTATTTCTTTAAGGGATTTCCTCGTTTCTTCTTTGAGGCTCTCCATCATCTTCATGAAATAATTTTTAAGGTCTGTCTCCTCTTCTTCATCTATGTAGTGCTTTTCAGGTCTTGCTGGTGTTGGATCCCTGGATTCTGGTGGGGTCGTGTTGGTGTTTCTATTGCTGAGTGATCTCTTATTCTGTCTTCTTCCCATCTCTTCTTCCAGTGGGTGCTGGTGGGGGCTTTCTGTTTCCACTGGTCTCCTTCCTTACTGCAGCTGAAGCTGAAGCTGGCCTCGCTGGGGTTGGGGTCTTGGAGGGGCTGATCTCTTTCCTGAAGCTGGGCTCGCTGGGTTGGGGTCTTGGAGGGGCTGATCTCTTTCCTGTGTGGGCGGCTCTTCTGAAGCTGGGCTCGCTGGGTTGGAGTCTTGGAGGGGCTGATCTCTTTCCTGTGTGGGCGGCTCTTCTGGAAGCCGGGAGCGGCCCCGAAGATGGAGGGGATGGGTGATGGGCAGGTGGTCCCAGCCAGAGACCCAATCTCACCTGAAGCTGGGCTCGCTGGGTTGGGGTCTTGGAGGGGCTGATCTCTTTCCTGTGTGGGCGGCTCTTCTGGAAGCCGGGAGCGGCCCCGAAGATGGGGGGGATGGGTGATGGGCGGGTGGTCCCAGCCGGGGACCCAATCTCACCTGAAGCTGGGCTCCCTGGGTTGGGGTCTTGGAGGGGCCTGTGTGGGCGGTTCTTCTGGAAGCCGGGAGCGGCCCCGAAGATGGAGGAGGGATGGGTGATGGGCGGGTGGTCCCAGCCAGAGACCCAATCTCACCTGAAGCTGGGCTCGCTGGGCTGGGGTCTTGGAGGGGCTGATCTCTTTCCTGTGTGGGCGGTTCTTCTGGAAGCCGGGAGCGGCCCTGAAACTGGGCTCGCTGGGTTGGGGTCTTGGAGGGGCTGATCTCTTTCCTGTGTGGGCGGCTCTTCTGGAAGCCGGGAGCGGCCCCCGATACTTATATGTTTAAGTGCAAGTGTTCATTGCAGAGTCATAGGTCTGGTTTGAGGCCTCTGGTTTCTGCTACACTATCAATGCTGGGCTGTCAGAATCAATCTTTATTGTCTTGCTGATTTTCTGTGTTGTGGAGATTCTGCAGATTGGGGTCTGCAAGACTGGTCCCTTCAGTTGTCCCAGTAGGTCACAGATGGGTTGGATGATGGGGTGAGCCATTCATATGCCTGGTACAGGGCCTGTATAGTCCCAGGGTTGGTCAGATTGCCAGCTCTCACTTGTCCTCACCACCAGGGTGAGCTCTCCTGTGTTGTCCTGGCAATTTGACCCCTTGTAGTGATGAACACAGGGCAGGACTCTTGCTTCTGAGTCCCCAGTGTCAGATCTCCCACATGCAAATTTGCAAGTGCAGTTCTACCGTGTTGTCAAGGTATAGTATAGGGGCCTCTCTCTAGAGTGCTGCAGCTGATGAGGGGCAGGACCAGCTCTACTGAAGCCTGGGGAATTTATGGGCTGGGAGTAGGGGTTGGGGCAGAAGTAAAGGACACCTCTCCTTTGCCAAAGCTGCCATGTTACAGATGAGTAATGGGGACAGTCCTCCCATGCTCTGAGATACAGGGCTGGCTCTACCACAAGAACTGGCTTTATTTTACTGCCCAGTGGAGGTATAGTATATCCCCTGATTAATCTATCAACAGGTGGGGGACAGGGGCTGCTCTCCCACGATTATGACCTTAGGGCTAGCTCTCTTGGATTCATGCTGTTAGAAAAGGAATGGGGGCAGTTCGCCCCCACACCTCTGCCAGCAGGATCAGCTCTATATTTCTGCCCAGGTGAGGGGTGAGGTCTACTCTCCTGAGTGTTGCAGATGGTGGCAGACAGGGAGAGAGGAAATGCTGTTCTTGTGTCCTTATGCTGTTATGACTTCACGGACCATTCACCCACTCTCCTCAAGCATTGATGGGTTGGCAAGCCATGGGATCTCTCGTGCCCAAATTTTTAAAACTTGAATAACTCTGTAAACTCTGCTAAAAACAAGAAGAATAGAAAAGTCACAGCCTTGAGGGTTATGATTTGCAAAATATTTCATCCACTAAATCCCAGCATTTTTAATTGCACATCAATGACCATTTCAGAGAATGGATCCAAATTCCTTGAAAGAATATAATGTGGATGCTTCTGGCAAACTCTCAGGAAGAGTATTTAATAACACAAGAAACCTCACGATCACAGCCCTTCATGCCTGCATTTTTATGGACATTCTAGTATCATGATCTCACATCAGAATGTCTTATTAGGATGATCTTCTTCTGGCCCTTCTGTAAACTCTAGGTCCAGAATCTTTCCTATGCCCATGAATAAGTTCCTGAAGTCTAATGAGCCCATGGCCACTTTTATTATAGCATTGCTGGTACGGTACCAACTTCCCATGTCAATCACGTTTCCTCACTGCAGAGATGATATCTGAGAAGTCAACTTGATAGAGGAAAGTTGATTTTGGCTAAACATTTCAGAGCATTTCTAGTCTACAATGACAGGAAAGGCCAGATGACAGTGTTCTGTGTGTGGCAGCAGGGCCATGGGCAGTGCCTAGTTATTGCTTCTTCTAGTTGCATGAGGCATGAGGCACTGTATGAACACTGAGAATTTTACTATGAGTTTGGGAGATGGAGATCATCTGCAGAGTACTATGATGAAAGCACTGTACTGAATACATTCAGTGCATACCAGCAAGCACACTGTGACAAGAGAGAACTTGGATAATTCATACTAATTGCACACTTTTGAAACCAGCAGGAAAATTCACACTTAGTTTACCTGAAATGCAGGGTTTACTTTGGTTGTTGAAGCTCATTGGAAATGTGTATGTGTTGTGTGTTTGAATCTGTAAGTTTGATGCACACTAAGACAAATAAGAGATCCCATATTTGCTCATATTACTTGTAAAGTCGGTACAGACAAAGGGTCACACAAAGATTGTTCAGTTTCAAAATCACTGTATTTCAAAATGTTCAGAATTCCTTTGATCATTCACAGTATTTTTCAGAATCTAATTGGGTGTTTACAAATGTGTTCAGTAAACACACTCATTTTGAAATATGTATTTTAGGCTTAAACATGAATATTCTAAGTTACAAGAAACAACAAAGTGTCAAGCAGAAGAAAGTAGAAAGTGTCAGATAACCCAAGTAAGTCCATATTTATTAAGTCCATTTTGCATTAATTTCTGAAAGACTAAGAAGATAATTTTCAGTGATAAGAATATTCTCCCTGGTCATACATTTGATATATTCATATTGTAACTGTTTGTAAATAGTAGTTTCAATTCTCTGAGCTTACAAAATTTCTCTGAATTTGAAAAATGTATTACTCTGAGTATAATATGTGGTTTTTTGAGACAGGACCTGTGTAGCCAAGGCTAGCCACTGAGAAAGTGACAATGTAGCATAGGCTAATATCAAATTCATGCTGTGATTTAATTTACTTCCAGACTTCTGGGATTAAAATATAAAGAGAAGCTACAATGTCCTACTAGCGTTAAATGATTAATGAAAACTAGTGTGATTGTCTACAGTCAGTATTTCATAGGTACCATACTTGGCTTATTTATTTACCTTTCAATGGACTCTTAATTTTCATGTATTTAGCTATTGTTAACAATTCTGTGTGAAAAACTAATGTCAAATTGAAATTTTTATCCCTACCAATACATCAACATAGTGTATATTTTTAAGATATACATAAACATTTGATGAAAGTTTGGATTTCATTTTAACCTTAGCCTTTCTGGGATATCTTGAGTATTAGTTATCTTTAATATTTAGCTTTATTAAAGAATAAGTACGAGATCATTAGACAAGCACATTTCCCTGAGTACAGTCTTTTTTCTTATTTTAAATAGTTCATTGAGAATATTCGACAATATATTTTGATGATATATTACCCTTCCCCAACTCATCTCATACCTGCCTTCAATTCACCAAACACTGAGCTTCATGTTTTATTCCTTATTTAAATGCATTATGTCAATTTGGCTACACATACATGTTTGAATGTGTAGCAACCTCTGGAGGGTGACAACCCAGCAAACATTCTACCTATAAAGAAATCCATTCATCCTTTTCCCATGAATCACTGCCAACCTCTCCTGGCAATGGTAGGGTATATGTAGCCACCACCCTCTCTTTGCTGGAATTCTGTTGGCCATGAGGCTGGACAAGTCTTCTGCATGCTATCTTGCCTGCTGTGAATTCATATAAGCTACTTCACTGCTGTATCCAGGAAACACTCTTGCATAATCCACTGCCTTGCACTCTTAACAATCTTTACATCTCCTCTTCCATAATGATCACTGAGCTTTGGGAATAAGAGATTTTGACAAAGATATATTTAATATCATACCTATAATTTTAAAATGTACATTATGTACTTTTTTCTGAAAAAATTATTTCAAACATTGACAATGCGTTTGGAGAATGGGAAAGAAGAAAAGAGTAAACTACTAAAAGAAATAGATAGGTAACAAATTAATTTTTCAAATCTTTCATCCATGACCTAACACTATTATCCATATATCTTTACTTGCAAGTAAGTGTTCATAACACAGAGTCATTGGTCTGGTTCGAGGCCTCTGGTTTCTGCTACACTGTTTATGCTAGGCCGTCAGTGGAATCAATCTTTATTGTCCTGCTGATTGTCTGTGTTGTGGAGACCCTGCAGATTGGGGTCTGCAGGACCAGTCCATTCACTTTTCCCAGGAGATCACAGACAGGGTGGATGCTGGGGAATGCCAACTCATATGCCTGGTTCTGGCCTGGGCAACTTCAGGGTTGTTGAGCCTGCCAGCTCTCCCTTGTCCTCACCACCATGGTGAGCTCTCCTGTGTTGTCCTGGCAAGTTCACCCCTAGCAGTGACAAGCAAGGGGCAGGACTAGTTCTCCTGCTATCAAGTCCTCAGTGTCAGATCTCCCAAAACCACACAGCAGCAGCAACTCTACTGTTTTTTCCAGGTGTGGTATAGGGGCCTCTCTCTGGAGTGCTGCAGCTGATGAGAGACAGGACCATCTCTACTGAAGCTGGGGGAATTTATGGGCTCTGGAATGGTTGTTTGAGGCAGAAGTAAAGGCATCTCTCATTTGCCTAAGCTGCCATGTTACAGATGAGTAACGCAGACAGTTCTCCCATGCTCACAGATGGCTGGCTCTGCCAAAAGAATTGGCTTTATTGTACTGCCCAGTGGAGGTACAGTACATCCACTGCATAGTGTTTCAGCTGGTGGGGGATAGGGGCAGCTCTCTCACCCTTATGACCTCAGGGCTAGCTGTCTTCCATTCTTGCTGTTAGATAACTAATGGGGGCAGTTCTCACCCACACCTCTGCCAGCAGGATCAGCTGAATTTTGTTGCCCAGGTGAGGGGCAAGGTCTTCCCTCCTCAGAGTTGCAGATGATAGGAGATAGGGGCTGCTGACCTCAGGGCCATTCTCCCAATCTCCTCAAACAATGATGGGTGGGGCAAAGCATGGGATCTCTCTCATGCCCAACATTTTTACACTTGAATATCTTTGTAAACTCTGGTAAAACTATGAACAATAACAATGTCACAGCCTTAAGAGTAATGATTTGTAAAGATTTCCACCACTAAATAAACTATCCCACTATTTTTAACTTCACATCAATGAACATTTCAGAAACTGGATCCAAATTCCTTGAAAGAATGTAATGCGGAAGCTTCTGGCAAACTCCCGGGAAGTGTATTTAATAGCACCAGAAACCTCATGACCACAGCCTAGTATCATGAGCTCACATCAGAATGTCTCATTAGGCTGATCTTCTGCGCCTTCTGTAAACCATAGCTTTGATTCTATCCTATGCCCATGAATTAGTTCCATAAGTCTAATGAGCCCATGGCCACTGTTATTAGACAGTGATGATGTGGTACCCACTTCCAATGTCAATCATGTTTCCCCACTGTAGAGATATCTGAGAAGTCAACATGATAGAGGAGAGTTGATTTTGGCTAAACATTTCAGAGCATTTCTAGTCTACCATGACAGGAAAAGGCAGATGACAGTGTTCTGTGTGTTGCAGTAGGACCATTGGTCCTACTGTTGGCCATGAGCCTGCACAGGTTTTCTGCATGCTATCTCGCCTGCTGTGAATTCATATAAGCTATTGCACTGCACTGCTGTGTGCAGGAAACACTCTTGCATAATCCACAACTATTTAGCATTTTATTTGGAAAAGGATTTAATTTTTGCATTCTGGTCCTAGTTCCCCCCTCTCTCCCCTCCTTCTGCTTCTCCCAATACCCCCACCTGCCATCTGCTCCTCAGAGAGGGTAAGGCCTCCCCTAGGAAGTCTGGTAAGTATGTTTCTTCATCTCATTGAGAAAGGACCAAGTCACATCCCCACCTCCCACACACCCCTCTGTCTAAGCTGAGCAAGGTATCTCTCCAAATATAATGGGCTCCATTAAGTCAGTTTGTGCATTAGAGTTAGATCTTGAACCTACTGCCAGTGGCTTCTGATATTGTCTCAGACACACCATTGTCGCCTGTATTAAAGGAGTCTAGTTTGATCTTATGCAGGTTCCCCATTTTTCAGGCCAGAGTCAGTCATCTCTCACTAGCTTGGGTCAGCTGATTCTGTGGGTTTCCCCATTATGGTCTTGACTCTTTTGTTCATATTATCACTCCTCCCTCACTTTGATTGTACTCCAGGAGCTTTGTCCCTTGGTTACTTATGGATTTCTGCATCTGCTTCCATCTGTTTCTGGAAGAGGATTCTAGCTTCTATGGGATTGTAGATATAGATTGTAGACTGAGTATCTTTTGCTTTATGTCTTGTATCCAATTATGGGTGAGTACATACTCTATTTGTTTTTCTGGGCACAGGTTAACCTCACTCAGGATGTTTTATTTTTTAATGTCTTTTTTAGTTTTCAATTTAAATCACAAACAAGGTTGCTTCACATGTCAATCCCAGCTCAGGACGGTTTTTCCTAATTCTGTCCATCTGCCTGCAAATTTTAGGATGTCATTGTTTCTTAACACTGAGTAGTAATCCATTGTGTAAATGTACCACATTTTCTTTATCCATTCTTCAGTTGAGTGGCATCTAGGTTGTTTCCAAGATCTGGCTATTACGAATAATGCTGCTGTGAACATAGTGGAACAGATGTCCTTGTGGTATGAATGTGCCTCCTTTGGGTGTATGCCTAAAATGGTATTGCAGGGTCTTGAGGTAGGTTAATTCCCTAATATTCTGAGAAATCACCATACTGATTTCCACAGTAGCCATACAGTTCGCACCCCCAGGAAAATGGAGACGTGTTCCCCTTTCTCCACGTCCTCTCCAGCATAAGCTGTCATTGGTGTTTTTGATCTTAGCATTCTGATCAGTGGAAGATGGACTCTCAGAGTTGTTTTGATTTTCATTTCCCTGGTGGCAAAGGGTGTTGAGCATTTCCTTAAGTATCTTTCCACCATTTGAGATTGTCCTGTTGAGAATTCTGTTTATATCTATACTCCATTTTTATATTGGATTATTAGGTAGTTTAATTTCTAGTTTCTTCAGTTCTTTTGTATATTTTGGAGACCAGGTCTCTATCAGATGTGGGGTTGGTAAACATCTTTTCCCATTCTGTAGGGAACTGTTCTATCTTGTTGACCGTGTTCTTTGTTTTACAGAAGCTTCTCAGTTTCAAGAGGTCTAATTTATTAATTGTTGATCTCAGTGTCAATGCTACTCGTGTTCTATTAATGGAGTGGTCTCCTTTGCCTATGTGTTCAACTGTATTTCCCACTTTGTCTTCTATGAGGTTCAGTGTGAATGGATTTATATTGAAGTCTTTGATCCATTTAGACTTAGGTTTTGTGCGTGGTGACAGATATGAATCTATCTGCATTTTTTACATGTTGACAGCCAGTTATACCAGCATCATTTGTTGAATATGCTTTCTTTTTTTCCATTTTAGCTTCTTTGTCAAAAACTAGGTATTCATAGGTGTGTGGGCTGATATCAGGGTCTTCAATTCGATTCTATTGATCTGCCTGTCTGTTATAGCACTATATCAGGACTTGAAGTCAGGGATGGTGATGTCCCCAGATGATCATTTATTGTACAGGGTTGGTTTGGTTATCCTGATTTTTTTGTTTTCCCATATTATATTGCGTATTGTTCTTTCAA